GAGACAGAGAGCACTTTCAATTCACTGATCCTTCTTCACTGTGCTGGAGGCTGGTTGAGTGTGAGAGACTTGATTTTAAGGTGCAGCAAGGCAGGAGGAAGGATGGAGTCGAGGTGAGGCTGGATCACTCCTAGGGCTGACCACAGTGTGTATCCTCATTCATATGGGGCAGGGGAGATGACACAGAGCAGCTCTGCAATGGTTTAAATAAACAGAAGCTATTTTATCCAGTACATTGATCACCATGACAAACATCTTGCTCTGATCATGGCTCCATTTCTTTACTGAGTCAGAGATGTAGCATGGACTTGCTTCTAAACACTCTTGATAACATGCAGAGTAGCTTTACTTCTTGATCTCTTCAATGCTCTCCAGAAGCAAAGACTTGAGCATGAGATTCCTTGAAATAACCACTACCTGATCACTGATGACTCTGTTCTGTCACCATGCCATGAGCCTCTCTCTGCCTTCAACCTACACACAGGAAAACTGCTCCCAGCAGCTCTGTGCTTCAGGCTGGTAGGATTTTTATGACTTAAGGTCAAACCTTTGCAGCTCTTCAGTGTCAGTGAATTGAGTGCAAGTTGTGACTTACTGAAGCTGCAGGTCAACCATCTTAAGAGTATTATTTTAAGCAAAGATATTCTGCAAGCTGTAAGCCTTTTTCCAATGTGGAGCATAATAAGGGAGAGTGTGGAGGAAGAAGGTTGCTGCAGGTAATAGAAAAAGCATGTTGATAGGAGAACTGAGTACAGAGATGCTTCAATGGCTTGGGAGGGGTGAGCACAAATCTAGTCTGGCCTAGACTAGCAGAGGACACAAGCCCAGCTGTGGCCATGTCAGCTGTGTGCAGTTACTGGGACATCTATATCTTGAATTTGGGGTAAGAAAGAGCTCAGGCATGGAGTCAAGTCCCACCTTGATCCATGCACTCCTGCCCAACATCAGCTGCATTGTCTCTGGAGCAAACCTGTCCTGAGAGCAGCAGAGCTGCACATCCCCTGCATGAGCCTGACTGGCCTTTTGTTTAAGCAGGTGGACTGGTTGTCCCTGCTCATTCTGTCCCTGACATCCTGGGATGTATCTCCACCACTGACGTGGTCAACCTGTAATCAGGACAAAGCAGATGGAGAACAGACAGTGGTCCAGGCTTGTGTACTGCCTGTTCCACTTCTGGCTCTGCTAAAAGCCACAGTGTGAATTTAAGCAACTTATGGAGCTTATCTGTTTGCAGGTTCCCATTTGCATTTAAATGCTTCTTTTTCTCCTTCCCCAAGCTGCTCAGGATCTGTACTGACTCAGGCAATATTCACTTCTCACTTAGCTAGCAATGAGTCAGGTAGTCTAAACTAGGTGTGTAGCCTCTCTGCCTCGGTGCTGATCAGGGACAGACACCCCCAGAGATGATTCACCACTTCCTAAGATCAGCTGCATGGAACCACCATTTGCATGTGTTGACCTTTCTGTAAGGACATCTCATTTCCAGCTTCTATGGTGAGTGAAAACTGAGATGCCAGAGGGAAGGAGGCTCCTGGGTTTTTCTCACACTTTAAAAATGCAAAGGAAAAATGAAGGATTATTTCCCTTATTGTTGGCACAACAAAAACATGATGGCTTGAGGCAGCAGATTGACTCCCTCTTCTCTGGGCATTACCAAAGCTTCTTCCCTCCTCATCACTGTCACAACTCTACACTAAAGAAAGACCTTAACTGATACCAGTGTTGATTTATTACAGAGGAGGGGCAACTGCTGGCTTGGCTCTTTGTCATCCTGATGAAATCATGGCACCAAGGTGCTTTGATGTGCAATGACAGCAGTGAGAATAGAGGCAGCAAGAGCTTTTGTGTAGTTATTCTGCTGTAAGCTCCTGCTGTGGGGCAGTTAACCCCCAGGCACTGCACAAAACAACAGCCTGATCCAAAAAAGAAATCGGGAGTGGCAACAACCCCATTCCTGTGGGACTCTCCAGCCTACTTGAGCCTCAGAGGGCTCCAACACTGGATAAAACCCTGGGCTGGAGAGAAACTGCAGGCTGCCACTTATATGTGGGGGCTCAAATGTGGCTTTAAACCCACCTGAAATCCCTGCAGGAGGGATTTCCTGGAGGACCTGCAGTTCTCACATTCTTTCAGCCCTGACAGTCAAATTTCTCATGGCCAGTGAAGCTTCAATAGCAGGGAAGCCTGAGGAAAGGAATATCATCTCTTGAGTGACACCTTAAACCCAGGTCATAAGTGGCTGAGATTGGTGTTGGTGCTGTGTTAGAGCCAAGGGTGAGGGGACAGTAGAACACACTCCCACCATGCAGGAGCTAGTGGGTCAGAGTTTGGGAATGCTCACTTTAACCATGCCATCTCTTTGAACTAGAAGCAAACATGACATTTTTAGGGTCACAAAGGACCTCCTCAATGCTGATTTGGAGATCTCTAATTCACCTGCAAACAAGGAAGCTGCTCACATGCACTGCCCAGCTGGGACAGCCCAGGAATGGCTGTGAGGGCACAGCCTGGTCTGAAAGCAACCAAGAACAGCAGTTGCTGAAGGAGTTCATGTCAGTGTTTTCCACCATCATCCTGCACTTCCATCCAGATAGGGAAAAAACATGGTAAAGCATTAACCAGATGTCTAGAGGACTCCAGAGAGGATTGAGAGCTGAGGCACATTACATTTTACAACCAAACTCATTCCAAATAGTTGGTTTCTAACTTTGTTTTCTTCCTGCAGGAGAATGCTATTCAAAACATGAGTGGAAATAAAGAGGGGCATTCATGGGTTGAAAGACCAAGTGCTACAAGATAAAGAGAAAGAAAAGAAGCTTTCAGCCAAGCTTAAATACCAAAACGACAGCAGCCGCAGGTCCCACGAAGGCATAGAGAAGACCTCCCTCCAATGACAGCCAGCAGCTGGGAAATGAAGAGAGAAAAGAAAGTTACCCAGTGGCTAACATCACTGACAGGCACATATTTGCCTCTTCCCTTTGCCTGCAGAGTTCATCCTGGGAGGTGCTACCCCATGGCAATAAAAAAAAGCCTCAGACTTTACAGCAAGTTAAGTTTTGCTTCCCATTTCTCCCAAACTTGCAGAAAGGCTCCTGTGCCTGGGGATCTGCCTCCAGAATGGCATTTGACAGAGGAATTCATGCAAAATTCATGACCATGCTCTGTTTCAGACCAGGTCCTGGAAGCAGCTGCATCATTTTGTTGGCAAGATGATGCTCTTGTCCTACTCACTCAGGCAAAAGAGTAGAGAGAATGGAAATTGTTCCTTGCTTGTTTGCTAAGCTCTCTGTCTGCTGGGGGCTCAGATCCAGGAGTGTTGGACATTTCTTCCCTCCCTTTGAGCTTTTGTCCATCGAGTTTTACAAGACAGCAATGAGGTAGGAATGCACAGCACTCCTTAAGTGGAATCTCTTATGGGATGAGCTGAATGTGAGGTGTGTGGTGCCTTGTCTGGAAACCACCATGTAATCTAATAAGGACTTCTTCTCTTTCCAA